GAGTTGAGCCCAGCGTCGGGCTCTGGGCCTGGCTCCGGGCCCTGGAGCCTGTTTCGATTCTGTGTCTCTCCTCTCTCTCTGCCCTCCTAGATTTCATGCTCTGTCTCTCTCTGTCCCAAAAATAAATAAAAGACGTTGAAAAAAAAATTTTTTTTTTAATTTTTTATTTTTTGGAGCTAGTGTGAGTAGGGGAGGTGTGCAGAAGAGGCAGAATCAAAACAAACTCAGGCCTCTGAAGCCTAATCAGCCTGGAGGCCTGGCCTGATGAGCTCAAACTCATGAACTGTGAGATCATGACCTGAGCTGAAGTCATATCAGACACTTAACCAACTGGGTACCAATTGCCCCTAAATATCATTTCTATAGGATGTTTATGCTGGAGTGGTACAGAAGCGGGTAGGTTCACAGCTTTTTTATCATACCAACTGAAATGATTAGAAGTTGAGATTGTAATGGGATTATATTTCCAGATTTTAAAATTATTTATTTTGAGGAGAACAGGCACATGGCTGGGGGGGGAGGGCGAGAGGAGAGGGAAGGAGGAATCCCAAGCCAGCATGCTGTCTTCAGAGCCGACATGGGACAGACCCCTAGCTGTGGGGATCATGACCCTGAGGCAAAGTTGGATCTCAGCCCACTGGAGCCACCCAAACAGCTAAGTTATAAGACCCTTTAAAGTACTCAAAATGGAATCATAAACAGAGTGCACTTTTTTGGTTTCCTTTTTTTTTTTAAATGTTTTATTTATTTTAGAGCAGAATTAGCCAGGCAAGGAGACAGTGGGGGGGGAGGGAGGGAGGGAGAGAGAGAGAGAGAGAGAGACAGACAAGACAGACAGACAGACCTGTCCCAAAACAGACTCCTGCTGCCCTAGAGACAATGCAGGGCTTCGACCTCCATGACCCACTGTGAAGTGTCCTGGGCTGAAACAAGGTTAGACTTGCAAGCTGAACCCTAGGCGTCTCTTGTTTTGCTTTTTATTTAAAGATTGATCCTTATTCTTTCTATCAGTAGTTCATTATTTTACTGATTAGTATTCAGCAGTATAAACTACACCACAATTTTGTTTACTCATTCCCACTTGCCCATGAAAATTTGAGTTTCCATATCTTGTGGCCTTAATTATAGCTGCTGTGAATGTTTTGGAAGCTGCGTCTTTATACGTTTCAGTAAATACCCTAAAGATTTGGGTATGGTGATTGTCATATTTAATTTTTTAGGAAACGCAAACTGGTTTTCAGCATGATTCCTCACTGGCCCGTTCCATGAAGTGAGAGCCTCAGTTACTGGAAGCTTTTCATCAACATGGTAGCCTCCATCTCTCTTGTTTCCTTTTATGTTTTCGACATAAAGATTCATACTTTAGTATATGCCAACATTCAGGGTTTATGGGTGTATGCTTCCGTAGGTCTTAGTATCTTTACCTGGATGGGCCGGCCGTCACCAGCATGTAATTCCAAGACATTCGTCACCCCAAATAAAACCCTGTACCTGGCCAGTCACAGCTTTTCCAGTCCTCGTGGAGCTGGATGGAGTCATATTAGAACTTTCTGTCAGCCTCCTGCATCAGTAGAGCTTCTTCATGAGTAATAGTACATTTGCTTTTCTTTATTGCATTAAAAATACGGGCTTCCTTAAGTGGGGAGGTGCTGGCGGTGAGGGATGAACGCCATCAGGATTGTCACCCAACTTCCCCTTTCCTTACAGGGAGGGCCAGAAGGACATATGCATTATTGGAGTCACGGGTACTCCCTCCAGCAGTCCAGGCTGCTTGAGCCTCCTCCCCTACTGTCTGCTCAGGACCTTTGGAAATATTAGTCATATTGAAAGTGTGCTGAAAAACCTGAATCTCATTTTCTTTTCTTTTTTTTTTTTTGTACACTTAGGTGGTCGATGATGGTAACCAGGCCTTTGAAGGTCAATGCTATCTCGGAAGGTAAAACATAGTTCATCAGTCTGAGAATAAAACTTCCCGCCATAGCTTTTGATCTTTAGGAATTTGAGGTAGTGAATATTAGAAGGACCATATCACGCTTATCTTGATTTATATTCAGCTGATTGATTTGGGGTCCTATGAAAATGC